AAAACAAAAAAAAAAAAACTTGCTAGGATGCCACACCAATATTGCACTTATCTCTGCCCAAAACAAAGTAAACCCCTCTCTCGACCTAGCAGACAAACTAAACTCTCTGCATCATCAACTCGCTCACCTCAATACCTCTAAACTCAAATATTGTCTATATCGACTACTGGCCACAATATATCACACTAACGGAAAAGCCACCAGACTTCTAGCATCAAGGCTTAGATCTAAGCTTGCTGACACCAAAACCCCTTATTAGATAAAGACAGCAACAAAGTCATGAACCCTTAAATGATTAGTCAGAAATTTGCCCAGTTCTATGCCCAACTGTATAATCTACAGACAGGCCAAGACCACCGAACGCATACCCCAATGGCCCACGACATAAATAATTTCCAAGAATCTATTCGCCTACCCAGACTTACCCCTACACAACAACAGTCCATCCTCAAACCTATATCATTGCAAGAGGTGCTCGACACCATAGACCATCTGCCCACTGGCAAATCACCAGGCGTCGATGACCTTTCAAACCATTTAGAGACGACTTAGCACCCCACCTCCTTAAGGTATTTCAAGAAGTGACTGCAAAAGGACATGCTCCTTGCAACCATTGTCACCATACCCAAACCAGACAAAAACTGCAGTCCTATCTCGCTGCTTAACTCAGATGCAAAAATTAATGGCAAAATCTAAGCACAGAGAATAGGGACACTACTTCCTTCCTTGGTCCAAGATGATCAAACTGGGTTTGTGATGTGCGACAGGGTCTGAACAATACCCGTAAACTATCATTGGTAGTGAGCGAGATCAGGGGGGATTGGCAGAAGTGGACTCTTGCTTGACTTAGATGCGGAAAAAGCATTTGACTGCTTCAACTGGATGTCATCGCCCAAATCTTTGCACTTTACTCCAACCCAACAGTACAGGTCAAACAAACTGGTCCTTGCCCTTCCCAGTTACTAGTGGAACGAGACAGGGGGTCTTCTCTTTGTACTCGTGCTCGAAACCCAAATTTCAAGCTATTCGAGACAACCCAAACATAAAAGGTGTGCTGTTGCCTGGGAGGGAGGTAAAGATTAGTGCATTCGCAGACAACAGCCTCATTACTCAACCTCAAGAATCCCTACCTGTTCTGATGTCCCTAATAGAGGAATATGGCAAAGTATCTGTAGCGGGACCTGGGTAACCCGGCTGGTTACTCCCTTTCAATCATCATAAGTCAGACCCATTTCCCCCAGTAAGTGGACAGCACACAGTTCCAGGATACAATATTTGACAATCTTTATTTGGGTACACAGCTTTTTATGCACAGACCCCGCAGGGAAGATAGTAACAGGATACAGGGACACACATGAATACACATTACGTACAGGGGGTGAGCTTTGGGGCTCAGCACCTTGGGACAGGAAGGGGGAACAGGGTGAAAACTTAGACTGTGAATAGCCCTGGGTCCCACCTAGGATCCCTGAAAAAAGAGAGGCGATTGGATGTACAAAGCCCGAGATATCAGCATCGAAAGTCTGGGGCTCGAGACTGTACATCCTCGAAATTAGTTCCATGGTGTTGCTTGGTTTAGTCCGGCGAATTCAAACTTCGCGCCTAAACCAAGCAACAACCAATCAGCTGAAAGGGCACGAACCAAATCATTCCAATCAGCATTCAGGGGAGGAAGGAGTTTTGCCGCCCAGTCCGAAGAAAGGTAGCACCCGATAGCACCAATCCGCTGAAAGGCACAAAACCTATTTGCGCCAATCAGTGCCCAGGGACGAGAGGGGTTTCACCGCCCAATCAGAAGAAAGGGCGTGAAACCCCACTTAAACGGGTGCTCCTGCTCTGATTAGTTACCGGTGTCAGTGCTCAGTTGTGCCGAACATCAAAAGGAATGGCGCGAACCCAGTTTGAATGGGCGCTCCTTCTCCCATTGGTTAGCACGGGCTTTCACACAGTCAGCAGAGGCCTGCAGCTGTGAGACCAACTCACAACTCTAGAGGTTCCTCGCTGGAGTGCATCCCTCTCTCCAGTGGATACCCACACTCAAGTATCCGCCGGAAAGAGCGTTTGCCTGGGCAGCTACAAGACTAGCCTCGTAGCTCCCAGGTTTGAGAGTGACAAGTGATTATAGCTCCGTTAGATGCAGGTACGATGATTCCTGACACAGGGATTGAAGACAGTGCATGCAGTCTGTTTTCACACCTTGTTAGTGAGGTGTGAACATTCTAAGTAAATGATCTAAATGGAGTGCCGGGGTGGTCTGGCACACGTGGCTCCGTGCGCCGGAGCGCCCCGGAGTGGTTAAAAAAGGTATTTTGACGGCTTTACGGTCAAAATTACAGAAAGGGGAAAATTAAAAAGGGGGAACACAAATTCTAGGAGGGCACATCCACACATAGAAATAGGGCAATTCATAGGTAGGTAGCGGTCCCAACACAGTATATAAATATTCTCTCAATACCACCAATACGCAGGCCATGGGCATAGGGCTGTCTCACCTTTCACTGAACTCCCTGCGAAACAACTTCTCCTTTGAGATGGAGTAAGGACTCCATCAAATATTTAGGCCTGACAATAACGAAAAATTCTACAGACTTCTACTCGGCCAATGACATCTCCACTTGGAATAAATGCCGCTCTCTGTTGCACAAATGGTAACCCTTATTTCTGTCCTGGTCCGAGCGCATAATAATGGTGAAAATGTCGATACTCTCCAGGCTTCAATATTTATTCCAGACACTCCCAATTGAACTACCCCTGAAGTACCTCAAAACGACCCAAGCGGAACTTATCAAATTGATCTGGGTGGGAGGCAGATCCAGAGTAGCAAGGAGCCTCATGCAAGCCCCCGTAAAAATTGGCAGATTGGCAGTCCCTAACATACAGACCGACTACCATGCTTCCATTTTGGCGACCTCTATACCCCACTTCCTCACCCACCCAAACCCCTAATGGGTCTCCTTTGAAAATAAACTCTTGCACCCAACAGACCATTCTACTCTGATGTACTCTACCTTAACCCCTTAGTGACCAGGCTTTACTTCGCTCTTTCCCCCATCAAACCTTGTTAAGTGGCCTGGGATATGGGGGACACATGGAGATCCGATAACCCTTGATTATGCAGCTATGTAACCTTATAATTCTCCTATAAAACCCAAGTCAGGTGAATACATTCCTGGTATACCTGTACTAAACCCATACCTGCCATCAGGGTCGCCACCAGAAATTTTGGGGCCCCCTAACTCAGCTCAGGGTCTGGGCCCCCTGAGGCCCGCCTTCAAATACCGCCCACTGGGCCCGCCTCCAAATACTGCCCACATGAATACACACACAATGATACAAAAGGACACAGATACATACTAACAGACACACATACTGAAACAGACATACATGCATGCATGAGGACATAAAGACACACACATACCTCATAATGGCATACATTTATAATGTCATACAGACATCCATACACACACACGTTCATAATGATATGCAGACATACATAGACCTACAGACACACATATAGACATGCATACAGACACACACACACAGCTCATTTTCCAGCCACCCTCCTGTCTCTTACCTTTTCTTTGCAGGAGGGTGGCTGGGGATTATGGGAGTCACTGGCGCGCGTGCTCCTCCCGCGCGGAGTGAGCTGGGAGGAAGTGACCACTTCCTCCCAGCAGCACTTGCAGCTGCTTTTTTTTTTTTTAAAGGGGCCCGGTCGCACTATACCACGGCGCTGACCGGGCCCCTGAAGATATATGGCCCATCGGGGGGCCCTAAGTGTGTGGGTTATGGTTGTCCGTTATGGTTGTCACCCCCTGATGGCGGCCCTGCCTGCCATGCCTCGACTGAACTCCTTGCTAAAAGGCCAAATATTAACAGAGTACTGTCTAATATCTGGGCTTCCACTTTAAGTACTTAACCCTATTGGTCTCATCTAATGATGATCCCAATAGAGAAATAGGATGGATAACTGATGATGCACCATATGCAGACACACACTACCCACACACTTAACCGAAGGTATCCACACACACCCACTTCCCAGTAGCGGGATCTCCAATCCACAGCGCAAGTCCAAGATTCACACACACCAGTACCACATATCTATAGCTTACCTCTGGAGTTAAGTAGACACCTGGATGTTCAGGTTCGCCGTGTTTGGCCGAACATCGGCAAAAAGTTAGAGTTCGGCCTCAAACACGAACCCCATACTTTTGGGCACTAAAATAGCTCTAAAACAAAAGTCCTGGAAAGGGCTAGAGGGCTGCAAAAGTAAAATGGGGGTAAGAGTAGGACAAGTGCTCTGCAAACAATTGGGGTAGCCCCCAAAATCTTGGGACATATAAAAAAAAAAAAGAAAAGAATAAGTGCACTTAAGTATAACAATGGCTGCGTAAGGCCGGTATAAATGTCTATTCTGCACAAGGTACAGACAAGTCTGGTGGGATCCATGCCTGGTTCATTTTAATAAACGTGAGCTTGTCCACGTTGGCTGTGGACAGGCAGCTGCGCTAGTCTGTGATAACGCCCTTTGCCATGCTAAACACATGTTCAGACAATACACTGGCTGCAGGGCAGGCCAGCACCTCCAAAGCATAAAGGGCAAGCTCAGGCCATGTGCCCAATTTGGAGACCCAGAAGTTGAATGGGGCAGACCCATCAATCAGTACGGGTAGGCGTGTGCACACATACTGTTCCACCATGTTGCTGATATGCTGCCTCCTGCTAAGACGTTCCATATCAGCTGGTGGTGCTGGTTTTTGTGGCGTGCTGACAAAGCTTTTCCACATTTCGGCCATGCTAACCCTGCCTTCTGAGGTGCTGGCGGTGACCCAGGTGCATTGGCCTTTGCCTTGCTTCCAGTGCTTCCACTGAGCCCCCAGTGTCAGTTGGGAATGCCCTCAGCAGCGCGTCTACCAGCGTGCGCTTGTAGTCGTGCATCTTCCGATCACACACCAGTGAATTAAAGGACTGCACGTTGTCCTTGTAACTGGGATTGAGCAGGGTAGCCACCCAGTAATCAGAACAAGTTAGAATGTGGGCAACTCAGCAGTCGTTGCGCAGGCACTTTGTTGACTCTAGATAACCTTGCGCCGATCACACGCCCCCGTGACGGCGCATTCGGATGTCTGCCCTATCAACTTTTGATGGTACTTTCTGCGCCTACCATGGTGACCACAGGTAACGGGGAATCAGAATTCAATTCCAGAGCCTGAGAAACGGCTACCGCATCCAAGGAAGGCAGCAGGCGCTCAAATTACCCACTCCCGACGTGGGGAGGTAGTGACAAAAAAAAAAATTAATACAGGACACTTTTGAGGCCCTCTAATTGGAATGAGTACACTTTAAATCCTTTAACGAGGATCAATTGGAGGGCAAGTCTGGTGCAGAGCAACTGACCCGTGCGTTTGCAGCTGAAACTCCACTATCGCCTGTTGCTTGCACAGTCTTTCCAGCATGTACAAGGTGGAGTTCCACCTTGTGGCCACGTCGCATATGAGGCAGTGATCGGGAAGGCCGAAGTTACGCTGCAGCGCAGACAGGCGAGCAGCAGCATGTTGAGAACACCGAAAGCGCGCACAGATGGCCCGCACTTTCTACAGCAGCTCTGATATATCTGGGTAGTTTTTCAGGAATTTCTGCCCCACCAAATTCAGCAAGTGTCAGGCAAGGGATGTGCATCAAACCGGCTAGGCCCAGAGTACTACAAGAATTCGCCCATTATCGCACACCCCCAGGCTGGGCTTGAGGCTCAGTAGCAACAACCACACATCGGTCTGTTGTTCCATGCCCGTCCACAGCTCCTGCGCAGTGTGGGGTTTTTCCCCCCAAACATATGAGTTTTAAAACAGCCTGCTGTCGTTTCCCCCTGTTTGTGCTGAAGGTTGTGGTGAAGGTGTTACGCTGACCAGATGAGAAGGTGGTAGCAGGACAAGGAAGCAGAGTAGGAGGAGGCAACAGGAGGTAAAAAGAAATGCCCTGCTGTAACGGCACCCCCCAGGCATAAAAGGGTTAAACTGCCATTTAGTAGATCTTCCCTTCCAGAGACACAGGCACAGCTACTGCAGAACACCAATCCGCCGAACAGGAAACCATCCGAATGCTGTAAACAGCCGAATAGGAAAAACCATATGAATAGGTTTACACTCCTAGCAGTCAAACTGGAACAGCATACAATAAATCCCCCCAAGAACGAGACAAAGCTCCATGTTGAGGGTCAAGCAGTGAACAGTCAGAGCTGTGGGTTTATTGTGCTTATGTACACATTAGTACCACCCACAGGGTTTTGGAACACAACCAATAAACACATACAACACACTCAGACACTCCCACACAAAATCCTCCCCTCTGCCTGTGATACAATTACCTTACACAATGGGTAATGTAATTATAACAAGCATAGAAATACAATTTTTCCACATTATTCATAACTTGAAAAGTATGCATCACATTCACATACAATTACATTACATTTTCAGAATCAGCATACTCCAAATACAAACATATGTCAAAATCATCCAAATTGGTCCAGTGGTTCAAAAGATAGATCGTAGTCCTTTGTGACCAAAGGAAGCATGGCTTTTCTGCCCAAAACCAGTTCCACAGAGTCTTCTATCCTGGAGATAATTGTGAAGTAATCCAATTATTTCCAAGGACAGAGGCAAAACTCTATTGAACACATGGCAGCAAAAGACAATAAAACACATAAAAACATATAACTGTGCAGCCATTGCACAAAACAGGTACATTCAACATATCCCCAGATAGCTCAGATCTGAGCGCACATTATTACTGAATGGCGCTCAGAGCACACACATACACTTCAATTGCCATGGAGCCAAAGTCTTTCCCATAGTCTTTCGTTATACGAATGGGCTCCATGGCATAGCTATCTGGGGTATCATCGCTCAAACAGGGCAAGCACCAAATGACCCGGCTTTCATGTCTTTGCAGGGGAAAAAAAAAAATCAAGCCTTTTAACATGGGGCCATAATCCAAAGGCAACAGGCGAGCAACCAGGCTTCTCCAATGCAATGTGGCGAGATTGGTCTCGTCACACCTGCAAACCTCGGTGGCAGAAGGACATGCGCCAAACTGCTATCCGCCTCAGGCCCAGCCGCCAATAAATTTGCCCAGTGTGCAGTTAGGGAGATATAGCGTCCCTGCCCTTGCTTACTGGTCCACGTACAAATGGTTATGTGGACCTTGCCACAGATGGCGTTGCGCAGGGCACACCTGATTTTGCCCGCCAATTGGTTGTGCAGGGAAGGGGTGGCTCGTCTGGAAAAGTAGTGGTGGCTGGGAACCATGTACTGTGGGACAGCCACCGCCATCAGATTTTTAAAACTGTCCGTCTCCACCAGACGGAATGACAGCATTTCAAAGGCCAGGAATTTTGAAATGCTGGCATTCAAGGCCAGGGATTGTGGGTGGGCAGGGGAGTACTTCCTCTTTCTCTCTAGTGTTTGGACTAAACGCTTTCATGGGACAGTGTGGAGTTGCCTGGGGACAGTGGCGGACGCGGTGGCGTTGCTGCCACATCCTGTTTGCGGGGGTTTGCAGGGTGGCAGGTGCCACTGTCACTCCAGAGGTTGAGGAAGAGGCCGAGACAGCAGCAGGAGCCCAAGACCTTTCTTGGTTTTTGAGGTGCTTACGCCACTGCAGATCATACTTTGCATGTAGATGCCTGGTCATGCAGGTTGTGCTCAGGTTTAGAATGTTTATGCCTTTGCTTCAGGCTCTGATTGCACAGCGTGCAAACCACTCATGTCTTGTCGTCAGCACATGGTCTGAAGAACTGCCACACCAGGGAACTCCTTGGAGCTGGCTTTGGCGTGCTCAGTCCCTGGGTGCGGTGGGCAGTAGCAGGCGTACTATCTAGGGGACGGCCGCTCCGCTTTTGCACCCTGCTCCTTCTTATGCTGTGCTGGTGCCTCTGTGCGACCACCGCCTCTTCCTCCAAACTGCACACATCACTCGCATGACCTTGATTCCATGTGGGGTCTAGGACCTCATCATCCCCCACATCATCTTCCACCCACTCCTCAACCCTGCCCTCCTTGCCGATCGGTACACTGCATAAAGTGTCAGCAGTTGGCACGTGTGTTTCGTCATCAGAGACGTGCTGCGGTGGTCCTCGCATGTCAACATCCTGACACATAAGTGGTTGTGCACTCAATCTCTTCCAATTCTGGGGCAGGGCTATGTGGATGGCCCACAGAAACCCCACCAGCAGAGTCATCAAAAAGCATAAGAGACTGCTGCATGACTTGTGGCTCAGACGGCTTGGCTGATTTGCAAGGGGCTGAGGTGAAAGACAGATGGCCATGGGCTGCAGGTGCCAACTCTGAGCTTTCAGAAGGAACTGGCGGCACTGTCAGCCATCCAATCTACGATCGCCTGTACTTGTTCTGGCCTCACCATTCGTAGAGCGTCATTTGGGCCTACCAAATAACGCTGAAGGTTCTGTCGCCTACTCGCACCTGAGGAAGGTGTTTCACTTGTGCATGTAGCTGGCACAGATCGACCACGTCCTCTTCCTGCAAAAGATTTTTTTGAAATATGAGTGGGAGAATTCATTGGGGGCATTTCAGTTTACAAGCTTATATAATATATAGTTCAACTTGCAAGCAAGAATTAAAAATCTACCATGAGGATATAAATCTGTTCAAATCTGATTTTAGCTGAGCATATAATTGCCACTTCTCTCTTATATCCAGCATAATTTGCACACAAAAAAAAATAAAAAATAAAAATAAGGGAATTTAGTGAATTTCCATAAATTGTCCTCTCTCCTCCAATAAATCTCTTGCACAAAGCATAGGTCGATTTTTCCCTCTATAAACGATCTATACAGAAAGCCCTATTTTGTAGGAGAATTTGAGCCCTGAGCATTGATTGAAGCTATCTTAATTGACATTATTAATAATTATTTCACTATAACTCACAGGAATAATTCCATTAAGAACAGTCAATATCAGATCTGTAAACAGTCATCAGTAGAGTTGAGCGGACACCTGGATGTTCAGGTCTGGCGGGTTCGGCCGAACTTTGAAAAACAAAAAAGTCAGGGTTCAGACTCGAACTTGACCCCAAACCCGAACCCCATTGAAGTCAATGGGGACCCGAACTTTTGGCCACAAAAATGCCTCTAAAAACTCCTGGAAAGAGCTAGAGAGCTGCAAAAGCAAGTAAAATGGGGGTAAGAGTAGGACAAGTGCCCTGCAAACAAATGTGGATAGGGAAATCACTTAAAATAACATAAAAATTTAAAATACAGCTGAGCCATAAAATAGTACTAAATGGAATCTTTGATTTTAGCTTTGGAAGAACATAAATCAAAATCTAAAGCATGGCTGTCAGGAGGATCACAAGAATTATCCATTTGAGAGAGGGTTGGAGTGCAGGGTATTCTCTTTGATTGTTCAAACTGAGCTCAACTCCTGATGCATGGAGAAAAGGCCTTCACAAGCCTCTGCTAATGTATACATAGTTTATACTAAGTGACCCAAAGGTTGAGGAGGCGGTGACCGTGTAGGTGGTAGAGGTAGCCAACACTGTATTATATATATATATATATATATATATATATATATATATATATTTTTTTTATTAATTGGGAAGCCCCCAAAATATTGGGACATTAAAAAAAACAAAACCCCCCCCCCCAAAAAACCCATACAACTCTGTTCCGCAGAGTAGCTGTTGACATTATAGTTGCACAGGCACTTTGTTGACTCTAGAGAACCTCGAACCAATCGCACATCCCCATGACGGCGACTTTGCATTTGGATGTCATCCATATCAACTTTCGATTGCCAGTTTCTGCACCTACCATGGTGACCAGGGTAACGGGGAAATCAGGGTTCCATTCCTTACAGGGACCCTGAGAAACGGCTACCACATGCAAGGAAGGCAGCAGGCGTGCAAATGACCCACTCCCGGCGCGGGAAGGTAGTGACGATAAATAACAATACAGGACTCCTTAGAGGCCCTGTAATTGTAATGAGTCCACTTGAAATCCTTTAACTCTGATCAATTGGTGGGGGGGGGGGGAAGGGAAGTCTGGTGCAGAGCCAACTGTGCGTGCTGCAGCTGAAACTCCACTATCGCCTGCTGCTGCTCGCACAGTCTCATGAGGTGGTGAGCGGGAAGGCCGAAGTTATGCTGCAGCGCAGACAGGCGAGCAGCATGGTGAGAATGCCAAAAGCATGCACAGCTGCTACAGTGAATGTCACATCCTGTTCCAAGTTGCGGATCAGTCTGGTGATGGCTTTTGGTATCCAGTACTCTTTACTGAAGCTACATCAGGGTCCTGGTATGTGGCCGCACAAACGCTGGTGCTCAGCACCAGGGGGCGTGCGGTTACCCTGCACCAGACCCTGCTAATCCATTCCACACTGTGACTCCTAACTTCTACATCAGGCATACTGGGTCCCGGTCATCCAACCGCTGCCCAGACAGTGTCTGGGTCCTGGTCACCGGACTGCCCACCTGACTGTGAAACTACGAATGGATCGTTAAATCTGGTACAAACCCGAACTTTGCAGTTCGGGTTCGCTCAACTCTATTATGGATCCTTTGATCGCTACATGTATTACTTGGATAACTGGTCATTTTCGAGCTAATACATGCCGACGAGCACAAGGGGACGGCCACTCCGCTTTTGCACCCTGCTCCCTCTTATGCTGTGCTGGTGCCTCTGTGCGACCAGCGCCTCTTCCTCCAAACTGCACACATCACTCGCATGACCTTGATTCCATGTGGAGTCTAGGACCTCATCATCCTCCACATCACCTTCCACCCACTCATCAACCATGCCCTCCTTGCCGTTATGCACACTGCAGAAAGCAGTTGGCACCTGTGTTTTTCCAGCATGTTAAGTCTGCAAAGGGCATATAGAAATTGTTTTAGAATTGTATCCAGGCAACAGTTTTCTCTATAAACTGACCTCTCAGTTTGACTTGTGAGGGTATTGCCCCAGAATTACAATATTGTTTAAGTACCTCAGAATTACAATATTGTTTAAGTTAGCTATTGATCACTGGTTTAAATATAGCAGTTTGTTATCTGGTAGTTTCTAGTGTAGAAAATATCAATCTGTTTTCTATCACTTAGATCTGTTTAACAAGTGTTGTAGGTGTGAAACGATATTACAAGTGACCGATGTAGTAAATTCGAATCAAAGTTCCATTTGCCCATCTTCTGTGGGTTATTGCATTTTTAAGATGTAAACTTATTGTATCACACTAGCCATGCACAGGTAGATTGTCTGGCACGTTGTTTTGGTGCTTGGTTTTTAACTTTGTAGTTGTGTCTTTACACAATATTGAAACGTATATTAATGCTTCTGTATATGAAGCGATCACAATAACACTTATTTTTCACTTAAAAAAAAAAAAAGAAAAGAAATCAGGCTACACAAAAATTGGTAATTCACAATATGACATCTGAAAAGCACATGAAAGGATGCTGTATGAAAAAAAAAAAAAAAAACCACCCCATACACACTACATGAAGGTCCTGTTCACTAGAGTGTGTAGTCATGAATGTAACCAGTAAAACTTTGTTTTTACAGCCACTGGTTGGCCCATACATATTTTAAAACTTGTTTAATTTTGTTGTAGCATGACTTGAAGATAAGAAGAGCAGCAGATTAGCAGCAAAACAATTAGAATGTTTACAACTGCGCAGTAAGCACACTATTTGACTCTTCTATTTGACTCACATATGAAGTGCACCGCAGGCCGCAAATGTACTATTTAACAGATTAGCATCCAGAAAATTAGAATTTTTACAACTGCGCTGTAAGCACAATTCTAGACGCTTTGATTTGACTATCAGATATGAAGTGCACCCCACTAAAAAAAAAAATACTATTTAGCAGTTTAGCACCCAAATAATTTTAAAGTTTTAAAACTGCAATGTGACAGCAGTATTTGACGCTTCTATTTGACTCTCAGATATGAAGTGCACCCCACTAATGTACTAGTTTGCAGAATTCTTTCCTAAGCTGTCCCTATCAGCGGCAGCATCCTCTCCCTACACTAATAAGACCTCATGTGCGTGCAGCACTACGCGACTCCAGCTTATATATAGAGGCTGGGTCACATGCTGCACTGGCCAGTCACAGCCATGCCATTAGTAGGCATGGCTGTGAAGGCTTCTAAGGGCACACAAGTCAAACGCTTGTTGATTGGCTGCCCTGCAGCCTTTCAAAACGCGCCATTAAAAATTGCCAAACTCCAACCCGGACATACAGTCCGGGGTCCAAAAAAACAATTTACAGTCCGGGTTCGCTCAACTCTAGTCACCCAGGGCCTTATGGAACAGTTTACCAGGAGTTGCAGCCCAGTTGCAGGAGATGGCACAGGAAGCAGGCAAAATCCAAAATACAGTATAGATTAAGGGAAAATCCAAAGGCAGGGTCAGGCGAGAAGCAGAAGTCAGGGCTGGCAGCAGAGTAACAAAGTCAGTAAATCATGCACAGGTCAGAGTCCAGGAAATCAGTCAGTAGCAAATCAAAGATCCGGCAGGAAACACCAAACAGGCAAAAATGACCAGATACTAGCTTTCAGGCAGGGCTGGCTTTTACAGCCTGCTAATTAGATGCAGCTGACCCTAATTGGAAAACGGTTGCAGGTGGATCAGTGCTGCTTAATCCAGGCAAAGGGCCAGGAAGCAGGATGTCATGGCAGCAATCCTGACTGGGATGCTGGAGCTGTGAGTTCAAACCCAGCTAGGTCACTTAACAGCACAATCATGCTGTGCTGTCTGCAGGGCTCATGCTGTGCCATAACAGACCTCCCCCACAAGGGGTGGGCACCAACAGACAGGGCTCCAACTACAGGATCCAGCTCAGACAGGAAATCCATGTCTGTATAGGCATCTAAATCATCATGAGAAAGCAGTGGAGGCAAGGATGCGAGAAGGGGATGCAGCCCTGGCCTTAAGGGCCTGCTCAAATACCTTTAGAGCTTGCCTGCAGACCACAGTTCCATTGGAGGCAATTACACAGTCTGGGGACAGATCCTCTGTGTTAGATCAGGAAACTTTAGGGGAGACAGAAGCTGAGGATTGGAAAGTAGCCACAGCAGCCTCCTTTTGATGCTCTAGAACAGGAGCAGGGTTAGCCAAGGCTGTGATGGTGCCATTGGTCTGGTTAGGTGGTCTTTTTGGTCCATTAGCATGCAGGGTTGTACCACAGCAACAAAGGTGTTTCATAGGCTGCCATGGAGGACTTGCTGGATGGTTTTCCTGTTCGGCTGTTTACAGCATTCGTGTGTTTGGAGCATTCCCCTGGTTCCAGTTTGGGAGATTGGTGAATTCATGTGTTTGCAGTTCGGGAGATTGGTGAATTCATGTGTTTGCAGTTTGGGAGATTGGTGATTGCAGTAGCTGTCTGTGCATCTGAAAAGGGGAATATCGCCTAAACAGTTTTTAACCTCTTGTGTGTAAAACTGTCCGTTACAATTGGTGGCAGCGGTGGGATGGCATCCTGGTGTGAGATGAACAGCACCCTGGAGACACCGGAATTATTATGTAGCGGTATAGAGCCAGTGAGTCCCTGAACAGCGCTCGAGGTGGAAGATGAGTTTAACCAGAGGTTACAGAGCATCTTGGACCCACTGGATAAGCCTATAGCAGAGGCAACCAGGTTGGCATGCAGAGAGGATGTTGGTACGCGGTTCAGCGTGTCCCTGGACTGGCCAAATTTGACAAACCAGAGGAAAAGGATTACAATGGTCCTGGTTTATTGTGGGGGGCCTTTGCAAAACCGGACTTTGGGAGTGCGGCCGAGTCAAGACTTTGGGACATATTTGCCTACAGAGAGGCCATGCTGGACCTCCCTATGGCTGAAGACCTAAGGCCAAACCTGATTGAATTGGCTGTCCAGGAATGGGAACTGGAGCAGGACTACCAGCACCTGATCAGCTCCAGTCAATCACCCTTTACCCTGCAGGTACCACCAGAGCAGTGGGAGTTCGAACAGGATTATGTCCTTTTATTTGATGCAGTAACACCGCCTGTTTCTAACCTGATGGGGCTTATGGACAGTACACCATTGGGAGCGTTGAGTTTCGTCCCTCCTCCCCAACAACTAAGCCCTTCATCAGGAGACCTGGGGTCTGTACCACCTACCCCCCAACCAGACCCAGAGGTGGGAGACCTTGTTGACTAGTCCTGGAAAGACCCTCAGCTGACAGGTGGAGGGAAGACCGAAATCTCTCCTCCAGCCATACAAAGATGCTGGAGATGGAGGGCAGCACTCTCCTCTCCCTGGGTTGCAGTGTGCAACCCAGGGAGAGGAGAGTGCTGCCCTCCATCTCCAGAAACCAAGGGTGTTATTGGGATAAGGGACAGGCAGTCCCTCTCCCCAGCGGCAGAATGTCTTACAGGAAGGGGAGATGGCTGATTCCCCTTCCCAACAGCAGGACAATTTATTGGAAGGGGAAACAGTCGGTCCCCCCCTACAACAAGGGAGAGTGTTGCAGTAAGTACCCCTTCTCCCCAGCCGCAGCGTAGCCCACCACTAAGCTCCCCACCGGCGCAGATGGGACCGTGGTATCTGCGCCCAAGCTACAGGGAGTATGGACAGTCGGTCCTGCTCCCCAGCGGCAGAGTATTCGACCGGGAGGGGAGAGCCTCTTCCCCCCTCCCCAGCAGCAGCATAGCCCACAAAGGGGAGATGCTAAGCCCCACACCAATGCAGATGGGACTGTGGTCTCTGCACATGCATCACAGGGGGTAGGGACGGTTGGTCCTGTCCCCCAGCAGCAGGGTTGTTCATCCAAAGGGGAGACAGCCTGGCTTCCCCTCCAGCAGCAGCCCCAGGTCCGGAGTGAGGAGCCCACTACGCCGTTCCCTCACCTGGGCTCCAACCAGGCTACTCCTGTGGTTGCACTGACAACAGGGCAGCGTACTGCTGGTCTCTGCCCACTCAGCAACCCACCGATCCAGAGTGCTAGTACCCCCCAGAGCTGAGGTGGAGATCCTGGATATGGACAAGCGACCTACTACTCCAGGTGTAGTAACCAATTTTCGTGTGTGCAGATTCTGTTTTGTGGGTGGGTTGCTGGA